GTTATACAATGACTTGCCTAATTACCCAAACCTGCCTAGTTAACCTAATTAACATATTTGAGCCTTTAAATGTCACTTTAAGCTGTATAGAAGTGTCTTAAAAAATATTATTTACTGTCATCATGGCAAAGATAAAATAAATCAGTTATTAGAAATGCGTTATTAAACTATTATGTTTAGAAAATTTTTGACCAAATCTTCTCTCCATTAAACAGAAATTGGGTAAAAAATAAACAGGGGGGCTAATAATTCAGAAGGGCTAATAATTGTGACTTCAACTGTATATATAGGATAACCAAAATGTTAATAACGAAGTAAAAACTTTAATAACTAAAATAAAATATAAAAACCAAAATGTATTTTATTTCCCAGAGATGGGTTGTGGCTGAAAGGGCATTCGCTGCGTAAAAACTTGCTGGATAAGTTGGCGGTTCATTCCGCTGTGGCGACCCCGGATTAATAAAGGGACTAAGCCGACAAGAAAATGAATGAACGATTGAAAATGTATTTTATATCGAAACTAAAACTGAAACAAAAACATAAATAAACACTACAAAGTAACAATTAATAAAATTCAAATGTGAATTAAGTTAAAACTATTAAGACATTCATTAATTTTGCTTTGGCTTGGTCCCTTTATTCATCAGGGGTCCCCACAGCGGAATGAACCGCCAACTTATCAAGCATATGTTTTACACAGCAGATGCCCTTCCAGCTGCAACCCAAAACTGTGAAGCATCCATACACATTCATATACACACATGCACTACGGCCAGCTTATTCGATTCACCTATAGCGCATGTCTTTGGACTGTGGGGGAAACCAGAACGCCCGGAGGAAATCCACGCCAACACAGGGAGAACATGCAAACTCAGCCGAGACTCGAACAAGCGACCTTCTTGCTGTGAGGTTGCAGTGCTAACCATTGAGCCACCGTGCTGCCCACTAAAGACAAAATAAAGAAAAATCAGAAAAGCAAACTACAAACATTCTCGAATGAAAGTCAAAACAGAAAAAACAAAAACATCATATATTTTTTTTATCTGATGTGCTTAAGAAGTAAAATAGAAATAAAATGAATAAACAACGGGCAATATACAAACCCCAAGCTAAAATCGATGATGATACTGAACTGAATAAAACTGTTTAGTATTATCAGTACTTTAATAATACACCAAAACACTGTAAACAGGTAATAATAAAAACTAAAATAACAAAAAAAGTAATAATAAAAATGTGTTAAAATGAAAACGTAAAATAGAATAAAATAAATCATTAAATTTGAACAAATATGTTACTGTAAATGATCCTAAAACCATATAGATTAAAACAGACTGCAACACACCTACAGCTAACTAAAAGATAAAAGATAATTAATCATCACCTTTTTTAGGACCCATTTCATGAAAGCATATTGGTAAAATACTGAATTTAAAATGTAAAATGTAAGAAGACAATGCAATATGTAATCATACTCCTTTGAAATAGTTACTGTATTTGTCATACAGCCTGAAATCAAATCACATTCCAAATAACTTTTCAAGCCTTTTACAACTTTTCTCAATTGCTTTGGCTCAGTTCTCAATTGATTTTTTTTTTCAAAACAATAAATTTAGATTTCTGAACAATTTGCTTATTGTTCACTTCAGATTAGCATTTGTTTTTGATTTAAGCAAATGACAAATGTTTTGGCGCATGTGTGCAAACAATAAGTACAACTGTCTGTCATTTGGACAAAAAGTAATTGCATATGGCTTGATGATCAAAACTGATGAGTCAATTGTCATTTAAACTGTCAAACTCTTCACAACTTCTCAATAGTTTTTCATTGTGTAAGCCATAACACTCAGAACTGTTTATTCATTTAATGTCTACTAAATTGGTAAATGATCTCTAGTTGCAATGCAATTTGCATTATTATTTATATCATATATACAGTTGAAGTCAGAATTATTAGCCCCCCTGTTTTTTCCCAATTTTTGTTTAACGGAGAGAAGCTTTTTCAACACATTTCTAAACATAATAGTTTTGATAACTCATAACTCTTATAAATGATTTACTTTATCTTTGATGTAACAGTAAATAATATATATATATATATATATATATATATATATATATATATATATATATATATATATATATATATATATATATATATATATATATATATATATATATGATATTTTGATAGTATTTTATTTTTGTGTATTTGTGGTAAAATAAGAAATATAAATTATACAATAGTAATTGGACAAGCAAGATTGCACTTTGCAAATAATACATTTGTACACAAATAAATGTACTGTAACTTTATAAAAAGAAATTATCATTTAAACTTTAATTTCCATGGCTAACTGTCATGATGAAAAACAGCTAATCATTTTGAGCAGTGTGGCTCATTCTGACAAATACATTTGATGTTTTGGTGGCCTTGGCCAGATTACTGACACCATAACTAGGTTTTGAAGCATGAATGAAATGTTTTGGATGAGTAACATTTTGCACACATAGGCTATAAAGTTTTCAAGTTTCAGCAAACAGTTTTGGGATTTGCACTCACGTACAGTTTAGAGAATGTTAAGTCTGTTTTGAAAAATGTGCCAAAAAATTTAGCAAAAAAAAAAAAAAATGTTTTTGTAGCCTTCTCCTAACATGCCTTTCTACAACTTTATCCCAAATATCTTTAAAAAGCAGGGTGTAATGTGATTTTCACAGGGTATGATGATTTTCTATAGGCACTGTATGTACATTTCCCCACACATAAACTGCCCAGGATGCTTAGAGTTAGGTTTAGTGCCCACTGGTGCTAACCGTATTCAAATCTGTGAAATAAACATTGCAATGGCGTCATCGCCTGGACAATACAAGAAGTGCAACAAGCTCAGGTAAAGAACAAGAACAAAACCTGTGCTATTTACAAAACTCTGAAACGACAAATACCATCTGAGATACACACAGTAAGATAGCTTACGTTTACGTTTAGATATGAAAAGTGCTAATGTCGAGGTTTTGCATTATATCGTATCATGAAGCATATTTCGATTAATAGACGAAACATAAAAGGCTGTAGATAAATATGTAACGTTACAATAAAAAAATCAAACCTATTAGCTTTGAAGCATCCATTTATTTAGTAATAGTTGTAATGGAGGTGACGCAGCTGACGGTGTGACCCCGGAAGTGGCGCACGTCTCTCCTGTCTGATGACGTCACTTCATTGAGCTGTTTAAGATGGCGCTTCGGCCCGGATCAGGGGGAGGTGGCAGGTACAGAATTTCACACTTTAACGCTTTGTTATCTATTCATTAGTGTATATGCACACGCCCGCTAAGCCAAGTACGTGTAAATTCAAGAGTGTATTTTGAAATTCAGCCGTGGGTCCCGCTCGGTTTTACTTTGTTTAGAGAAGCGTCTGCAGTGTTAATGGCTGATGCTGGTCAGCTGTGATGGTGATGTGACGTTTATCATGCTGCATCAGATCATCATCCGTCATTTTTACAGTCCTTTCTTTTTCTCGGCGTTTATTTTCGTGGCATACATGTGGAGACATATAGGTTTTGATGCTCAGACTTCATTAAATCGCTTGTCAGTCGACTTACTGCTAACCAGAAATGGGGATTTACTGGCCGTGTTTCAAAACCTACATTTTTTTGGTTTCTCCTTATGTTTCTATTCGTCGATGACGCCCCGAATTATATTTTTATTAAGTTATCTGTTAGAATTACTCTGAGTGTTTTCATACTCAAATGTTTTAAAACGAAGCTACGTTAACATTTACCTAACGTTACATTATATACACGTATAATACAAAAAAAAAATAATTCTACAAATTATACTACTTCAGTTAAACGTAATTGTTTGTCATAACATTTGTTTAGTTTGTAGTCTTGCAAATGCTTTCCAGGTTGTCGTGCTCAGGGTTCTAATGTTTTCCACTGCAAAAAATAAATAAAAAGACTCCCAAACTGTTAACTAATGAAACCAGTACATATGAATTGGGAAATATTGCCCTGGTATTTAACACAGCACCAGTAGAGACCCACAAGGACCAAGTCAGTTTTAATTAAAAACATTAGAAGTTCTGAGGGTTTCTATTGTAATTTTTCAATAGGGATTAAAGCAGTCAGCAGTGATGCTGATGTACATTTAAAGCAGAGATGCCCAAAGTTGGCCAGTGGTAACCTTTGATTTGGCCCACCATCCCATCTAAAAAGAGAGGGAGAATGAAAGCGAGGTGGTTAGGGGGTGATGCCTTCGACAGTGATCGTCATTTCGAGTTTAACTGAACCTTTTGTTTCCTTGTTTTATTGCTGAGCTACAAAAAAAGCCAACTGAAATTAAATGATTCTATTAAATACTGTAAATAAATCAGACTTTTAAAATGTAAAAACTGTCAGCAAACTGCATAAGACTGCTGCGAGCAAATCAAAGTAAGCTTGACTAGTGTATTCAGCATTGAACTTGTCATATGTAGGATTGTTTGTTTTACAGTAATAAGTTCATTTAAAAACGATACTGCATGAGTCAATATGATTTAAAGCAACGTTTTCAAGATCATTTTAAATATTACAGAATTAATTAGAAAATTACCCATGCCAAATTTAATATATACGGTTTGGTTAATATTTGGCCCACAGCCCTCAATCAGGTTTGCTTTTTTGCCCTTTATAGGAAAAAGTTTGGACACCCCTGACTTAAAGGGATGGCTCATCCCAAAATAAAAGTTAAATGTCAATTCACTTGCCTTTAGACCAAAATTTTTTCAATAGAACAGTAAAGAAGATTTTTTTTTGTTGAAACCACACTTCTGGTAGCCAAAATGGAGGTCAGTGGTTGCCGTTACTTTGAGATTAAAATAAATGTATAGATGCAAGTCATAATTACTACCCGCAACTCCTGACGATGGGGTTTTATGAAGTGAAATGCACTTCACAAGTAGCTAAGTGCAAAAACCTGAGCATTATTTATAGCTTTATAACTTGTTAACCTGTGAATACACCATTGAGCAATAACTAAAGATTTACAAAGTAAAGATGCATTTAATTGTCAAAAAAAAAAAAAGTATTTCTGTGGGCAACAAATCGAATTGTTGTGACCATTTAGACTATTAATGAGTTCTGGATGGGAAAGTCTTTGATTTAAATGTTTATGCATATAATTGAGTTGGGCTATTGATTAGGAAATAGATTCAGATTAAAGTCATAATTTTTCATTTACAATCTATCTTTTGAATAACATTTTTTATTCTTGATTCACTTTTTAAATCAGTTCATTGCAAACAGATTGAATACAAATGCTGTTGATATTTATAAAAATTACAAATGGTCAGTTTGCAAATGTTAAGTTGATGAAAACAAATGAGGAGTCATGGATATTTATATTAATCTGTTTATTTCAAATACAGAAATTAGAACCCGTTCGGTCTGTGTGTGTATATATATATATATATATATATATATATATATATATATATATATATATATTTGTGTGTGTGTGTGTGTGTGTGTGTGTGTGTGTGTGTATATGTGTATATATATATATATATATATATATATATATATATATATATATATATATATATATATATATAATATTTTTAGATTGTTTAGGACCATGGTTTTTTGTTGAGGAATCATGCATAAAATATAATTAACCAATTACATTCATTGATAAATACAGAATACAGTAGGGCAAAGTTACAAATGGTATAAACTGTTTATGATTATCTGGGAGTCTAGCAGTATTCAAATACACAAATCGAATGAACAAATATTAAATAACTCCATGTATATATTAAGATATATTCTTTCTTTAAGTTAAAAACATCGTCATTTCTTATTCCTGAATGCTTTAAACTGGCTTGAAATTATATTTCAAAACATTTTGACATTGCAGATCCTGACACTATGTGCATATTGCGCTATCGATGCTGAAAAAAATATACTTTGCAGTTCTAAATAAACCCATCTCTATTTTGAATAAATTATACACGCATGCATGCACGAGCACAGCTTTTGAAGGCTGACATTTTATTATAAAATCCTGGCTCTTTGAGGTGTATTGGTTCATATTAGGGCTGCACAATATATCATTTGAGCATCAGTATCACAATGTGTGTATCCGCAATAGTCAAACTGCAAGATTTGCAATGTTGAGTTGGGGTTATAATTGACCAGGAACCACTCATCAAAACACAATAAAAGTGAAAGTTGTCTTTTGCTTGTTTGTAAAACCTGTAACTGTTTGAGCATTTTAAGGGGGTTTAAATAATTAAAGCACAAAATAAACCAATAAAGATTCATTTTATTGACTATGAAGTGTTAATTTATATTTAATTTTTCTATGTATTTACCTGAAAACTGTTAGACTGCCCAGAAACCCATAAAGCACTGTTTATTTCACTTATTCTTTGCTCCATTGTGTTTATTTATGTCTGTAGTTTATTAGTAGCTATTATGTCTATAATAAATAATATAAAATACATATTAATTTTGTTGAAATTCTGAGTTAACGTTTTGCAATTCTGACTTTTATTTGTTGACATTCTGAGTTTACGTCTCGAGATTGTATATTTTTTCTTGTAATTCTGAGTTAACGCAAGTCTGACCTTTTTTCCGTTGTAATTTTGAGTTTACGTCTCGTAATTTTAACTTTATTTTTTTTGTAATTCTGAGTTTACGTTTCACAGTTCTGATTTTTTTTTTATACACTGTATACACACACTGATTTACTCCCCTACATCCCAGTTAATCTTAATGATCAGCTTTCCTAATTGAGTTATTTAAGCCATTAGGTGAAAATGTATTCATATCGCAATATATAGCTCAGAGAAAAAATATATCGCATGGGTAGATTTTTGCAATATCATGCAGCCCTAGTTCATACCAAAGTTAAATAGGGCAAAAGACCACACCAGCATAATATATGTTTGCTTGAGGTCCTGACTGAGACGTGGATCTAGTGACCTGCTTGCTCTCATACACTCATAGTTGAACTGCTATGCTGTTTTTCTTAAATAGTTGACCGCCTCAAGATACTATCATCCTCATGTGTGCCACTGAGCTTACTCATTTTGACACTAAGCCAGTAAGCCTCTTTAAATGTACCAAAGTTTTCTAAAGTAGATCACATAGCTGTAAGAAATGATGGAAAGGCCAACTTCATGTTTTATTTACCTAAAGGGCTTTAGTCTCTTACCGAATGACTTGAATAATGAATGTCTAGTTTCAAACGTCGCAGCACAGATAATGCTGATACCTGCTGTGAAACTAAATAACCGCAGAGCTCTACATAGATCTGCTTTATGGAATAAATGTTTAACAGAGAATACTTTCATTTTGGCATTGTTGTAAATGAGGAGCACAGGCTAAATTGATGTTAGTGTCTTTTGCTCAGCGCTGTCTTGTTTCTTGTGTTTATTTTGTTATTTGGTGGATTGAGCGCAGCAGATTTTTTACTTGTAATTGGTCTAAACATCACTCAGCACTGATGGCATTAGCATATTCTGCATGGCATCTATATATTGCTTCTAAATTATTTCTATCATTTTTTAGGGAGGCACATAAATAGAAATTTTGTCTGATAACTGATAACATTTTTAATATTTGAAAATCGATAACTGATTTATAAGCCAATTAATACAAATCTTGAGCCTGGTAACAAAAACCATGGATGTTGAGGTTTTTTATTTAAACTTTACTGCAGAAAACAAGTGGAACTGGAAAAAATTGCGATCCAGTGCTTTCTTTTTGCTAAATAATTGACAAGTCGTAACACTGATATCCTCTTTTTTTGCCTACTGTGAATATTTTCCACATTGCCAACATCTTGTCTTCCCTTCACCAAAAAATCTCTTGTAAATAGCATGTCTCATGCGAAAGTCATAAATCAAAACCCTCATTACCATCCTACAGTACGACATGGTTCTACCAGCTGAAATAATCCATGATTTATCAGTTTGAAAAGCTTTGGCCTTTTTATTTTCTTATTGGGCCGACAAAGATAATATTAAAAAAGCCAATATCAACATGGATACCATGGAAAAGTATATCCAGTATAACCCTTGAATCATTGCTTTCAGTTAGTGTTGTCAAGATACTGGAATTCGAGACCAATCGGTAATGAAATTTGAAAAACGTCCATTTCCCGCTAGCATTTGAGAGCATTCTTTAACAGTGCTGATTTGTCATTGTGTTCACGTGCTCAACAGAAATGACTGTGATTGGCCATGAAGGTCATCAGTTCACCAAACTCACCGCTGTTTACT